ACCATTATCTACAGACTATTCATCGTGACGTACAGGAGCACTGTGCAACTCCTGGCTCTGAAACATGACTGTTTAAATCATAGAATCGTTTGAGTTGGAAGAGATCCTTAAAGGCCATCTAGTCCAACTCCTCTGCAATGAACAGGGACACCTACAGCTCCATCATGTTGCTCAGAGCCCCGTCAAGCCTGATCTTGAATGTCTCCTGGGACACGGCTTCCAGAACCTCTCTGGGCAAACCGTTGCAGTGTCTCACCATCCTTATAAAAACCATCTTGTGTCTAGTCTAAATTTCTCCTCCTTTAGTTTGAAACTATTCTCTCTTGTTCTATCACAACAGATCCTTCCTTCTTATAGCCCACCCCCTTCTTTCTTACAGCCCCCGTTAGATACTGAAAGGCCACTCTCAAGTCTCTCCAGAGCCTTCTCTTCTCCAGGCTGAACAGCCCTAGCTCTCTCAGCCTTTCCTCGTAGCATTATCCTCTCTCTAGTATAAATAAGTTTATGGGAATGTGGCTCATAAATAACAAATCTGTACCTTCAAATGAAGACTTTTAAGACATGAGTGAGAATAAAATGAGGGAGTGCATTTGGCTAAACAACCCATCTGAAAACTTGGGAGACTGAGCTTGCCCATTTTTACTGCACAACCAATTTATTTTTTTCTGCTGCAACTACTGAAACGTGAATGACAATTTCCATAGCTATTGCTGGCATTTCTTGCTTAGCAGCTCAATTGCAAAGCTTCTCTTCACCATTTAATAACAAACATTTGTTTTTCATCTGATGAACGGCACATGAATGGGAAAGTACTGCCTGTATCACTCTCCTACAAACTCATATGCAAAGGGCTGAGCATGTTCAAACAATCCTGGGAGAAGCACGACAGCTTCATCATTAAACCTGTCAGATAAGTTGTTTCTCTTAGATTTGAATTGCGGATTTACAATATTAGATCTGGTAAATATGGATAACTGCTGGCTGGCTATTGATGTCAATACCTGCCTGAATTAAACAGCCATCAATCTTGAACTAAGGCTATGAAGGTCCTATTGGGCAAATTAGTATAAGTGAAAATTCAAGTGTGTTTTAGAAAGCCTAAATTGTTGAGTTAAACAATTTTGTTAATCTAGTTGTCTAGATTATGCACTGTCTGTAGATACACACTGTTTTCCTTCTCACTTTTGTTAAATTTTGTGATACCCATAGAAACCCATTTGGGTAATGCACCCAGTCGTAGCATGGCTCTTGTACAGCAAGTATCATAAGCATTGTATTCACACCCATTCACACCAAGACACAGCAGAACCAAACTTTTGTCTTATGAATGCAATATGAAGACTGTTGTAGACGTCGCTGTTATTCAATACCATCTATTTACTTGCTAATACATTAACATTATCAAGAAGCAGAAGACGACTGCTAAACTTTCCCTTTGCAGGGATTTCCTCCCCTCTCCCTAATTCATTTTATAACTCAGTAATCTATGTATTTGCCAGATCTTGATTTGTGATGCCAATTTGGTCTTACAGTAGCCTGGTGACAGGTGATCTCTGACAGACATCGTGAAAAGGAAGACTGTGGTCTATTACTTTGGTAGCAATGACCTGTTCATCAAGCAATCTGTTGTCACAAGAAAGATGACATCCTAGATAATGCAGCCAAAACCAACATACTGTAGCTGACTGTGAACTGGAGGCTGGGAACCAGTATAAATCAGATTTATCAGATTTCGAATCACATCTATTCTAGTGTTTAACTCATTTCCACAGCAGCGTCCTGGGGTATGAGGCTGTAAGCATAGACAAAAATCTCCATTATTAGAATTAAATGTGCTTCTCTGATTATGTGCGCAAAAAATGGAACTATAATAACTGTAAACAAGTTAAATTTAATGCATTGCACTGGATTTCAGTGATTCTTATACAATTTACAAATACAATATACAAATATGCCAAGTTAAATGTATGAGCTGTTCGGCATACTTGGGATCAGTCCCATTTTAAAGCATACCCACTACATAAGAAAATTAATAGCAGTATATGTTTATAGGCTCCAAACACAAGGAATGTTCTTCCTAATCTTGGTAGTGCGTTTCACACATGAGCAGAATGATAGAGTTGTCACCCATGCACACTACTTTTGTCTCATCAGATCTGTAGTATGAGAGTAGGCAAGTCTCATTCATTGCAAATTTTCTGGCTCCAGAAGACTATAGACATTTTGCACGCTTGGCCAGTTATCCAGAAGTGCAGGATGGATTTGACTTTTATTTCAAAATTATGTGGAAAGAATGCCATAATACTGTAACAGTCACACTGGCATCATAATACGTTTAATATCTAAACAATCTGAGATAAAAGTAAGTTTTCACAACCAGCTCATAGGGGTTTTGCAAAACAACTCCCAGGAGTCTTTAACAGAATTTGTAAGACTATGTCATTTACGAGTTGCAATTTGTGACAGAGATCCATGTATGTTTTTGTTTGCAACTACAACTTGCCAACCCAACAAGACTCAATTCTTAACCACAGTTCCCTGTGTGTGTAAGCAGTTTACCTGTTGAGATAACAACCATATTGTATAAATAACTGCTGGTGACAGTTGATGGTTACTGTGCATCTAAGTGGATACTTCTGGAAAGCATTTTTTGATATGTTGCATAGGTTAATAAATTCCCTTCAGAAAAAAAAAAAAATTACTAGTCACATCTGCAGTTTGAATGTTTCTTTCTAAAAGATGAATTGAGGCCAAGCAAGACAAAGAATCTGCTGATACACACATGTCACTCCAAGAATTCTCCTGACAAAGTTCCCACACCCAATTTAATTACTTCCCTACTGTAAAAACACTTTCCATCTGCATTTATTGTAATAGTTTCAAATCCAAAACCAACACACTATAAAGCTAGCTAAATAAATGAATGATATTGGCCTTAGGTCCTGAGCCAGGAGCTATTCTGTAAGGCTGTGTCTCCACCATTCATTTTTATGCTGATGTTTCATTTTATGTGCAATGTTTTCACTTAAGACTTGTTTAGAGAAGAATTACCTTGCTCCAGGCTTTCAAGTGTCATGTGCTGTGTGGTACTCCTAGTGCTGCTGCTGCCAGAGGCTGGCAGAGATTCCCTGCAAGACCCAGGTTGCATTTTGGATAAAGATGGGACAGAAATAGCCTGTTGCAGGCTGTACATACAGCATTCCACAAATATATAGGGCAGGAACATTAATTTCAACTTTATCTGCTGTATCCAGAAACTGAGTTTGTGGAACTTCAAATGAAAAGCTTTTTTTTCCTCAATGAAAAAAAAGAAAAAACTCCACCAGATTTCTCCTCAGTATTGACTATTTGTAATTTGGGTTCCCCTCTTGTACCTGGGAGACAAAAGGTTTTTGTTCCTCATACCTCGTATAAATAATTTAATTACAGTTCATAAGAAATTTCTTACTGTGCAGAGATAATGACAGTAGATCATATCTTATGTCCTCAGGTGTGTTGCAATATCATGGTCAGATGAAACAACAGCCATGGACTACTTTGTAATTTTTAAACACCTGAGTTATAACAGTCTGCTTTGGACAAGCAACACACTTGAAATTACACATGTGCACAAGTGGAGATTCTCTGTGCCATCAAAGTACCTCTACCCTTTAAGAAACATGCAGATGGGGCGCTGAGGGAAATGGTTAGTGGACATGATGGTGGTGGGCTGATGGTTGGATTAGATGATCTTAGTGGTCTTCTCCAACCTCCATGATTATTCTATGAAAGAATGATTCTATGAAAGAAGAAAGACCTCAACTTTTATAATAAAATTTAAACCAAAGCAGTAGGACAGCAGATAAATTTCTCACTTAGAAATTATTAAATGAGAAACAAAGTATAAAATATGCCTCCACTGAATCCCAAAGCAAAACTGCTACTGACTTCCCTTGAAAATGTGTTTAGACATTGAATTTTGTATTCAGTTACATACTTTCAGCTCTTAGCAAACTAAATGAAAGTCAAGAATGTGTTCACAAAGGGCAGAAAAAGATTCTCATGGTGAGCCACAGAGCTCAAGCCACAGATAGATTGCCTTCATTATCCCAGGTGGCCCCAGCTCCAAGAGGACATGAAGATATGGCAAAGGACGGGATCTGAGGGCAAATCTCAAATTACTTAGCTTTTCTAAGTTTTAATCACAATTGTGTGACTTCAATGTTCTTTTATGGTTATCTCTTTAAATTAAAGCCTTTAAATTTTTGTGAAAATTCAAAAGTTCTTTGAAATAGAAGCAAAATGAAGACAGACAAAAAACACAGAAAACCACTAAGTTTGAAAAAAATCATCCACTGTGGCTCTACAGTTTACTAATCAACAGGAAGATGCCCATCTAAAACAATTAGTATTTCACCTGCTAAGAAACATGCATAAACATATTCACACATGCAAAATACAGAATTCAAATGTCTTCCCTTTTCTCCATGTACATGAATATAGCAAAAACAGTGTTTGGTAAGTTTTTTTTTTAAAGAATTTTTTTTAAAGTAGGGAATGGTCTCTTCCCTACTTACAAACCCAATGGCATGTTTTTCAGAAGTGAAAAAAGATTCAACAAAAGTAAATTTTTTCCAAATAAAATCAGAACTGTCTACACACACAAAAAAATAAACACTTAAAAGTCAATACTCAAGTTTTCCCAAGGAAAGGGATAAAAGAAAAAAAGTGAAATTTGATTAAATAGATTTCCCTATGGTATTCCATAGGATTTTCACTAAAATTGAGCATGTTAATTCAGCATTACGGCACCATCTAAATCAGTAAACCATGATGCTAGCCCATATCTCTAACTGAGGGATGAAAACCTTCCAGACTGAATAGCAGTTAAAATTAACCTAGTCAATTTTCCTTTTCAAAGCAGGTCCTTCTCACTGAGTGCTTTCTGTCTGCATTTCAGCTCGTTATCACATCACATCACTATGCTGCAGGTAGTCGGTATTTGCCTTTTGTTACTGTACCTGGCGTTTGGAGGCTCTGACACATCTGATTCTGTACACGTTTTCTTTACCTGCAAAAGCAAAGGATTTTCATAGTTACTCTCACTTGAAACAGAACTTCCTTACTCACTATTCAGACACTTACATTGCTTAAAGTGGATGCAGCTCTGCTCACCGTGATCTCTATAAAATACTTCCCGCTTTTTACAGCAGCAGTATGCTGTACTAAACAGTGTGTTTCATTATTATCCCATGAACAGCTGCCAACTGCACTTCCCTAGGTTCCATTAGTATGTAAAATGTTCAGCTAAAATAGCTTGGGAGTAGCCCAACTGGGAACAAAGAAACCAAAGAACCAGGTTCCCCACTTGGAAACCAGAAAGCCATACTGTTCTCAGCAGAGTAAAGAAATGTTTCCCCAATTGATACAGCTTCTGTTTCCTGCTCAATCTCACAATAATAAACACCAGATTCTGGGGCAAAGTGCAGTGCTAGCTAAATAACTCATACATTAATTTTCATTTTTTGAATCTGCTGGTTGTTAAAAGTACGAGGGCTGCTCCAAAAGTAATGCCAACTCTTTTATGATGCCAGCCTAAGATGTTAGAAACAAATGTTGCTAGTATGACTGCAGAGGCTGAAGCTTTCCATCAATATTCCGTTACGTTTTGTTGCCGTGTGACAGATGGCAGCAGAGAGACATCTGACAAAACAGTGTCTGACATGGAAGTGCACAGCAAGAAAAGCCTTGTCATCGAAATCCTCCATATGGAAAAATGGCACCCATGGATGTTCATCTACACTTACTGAACGTTTGTAGAGACCAAACAGTGGGTGTCAGCACAGTGAAGTGGTAGGTGGTGTGATTCAGCATTGGTGGCGGTGGGGCATCTTGTCTGATGCATATTTTTACAAGCACAGCATGTAGGCTCTTGTTCATTGCTGGCAGAAATGCAGAGCTAATGGTGGTGACTGCGTTGAAGTACAGTGTTCTGTAGCTAAGAATTTGCTCTATAAAATAGTGTTATTGTGCTCTTTGTTCATGTTGTAGTTTCCATGGAAATAAATAGGAAATATTACTTTTGGAGCAACTGATGTATTTTTGTAATGCATCAATGAATATCACATACAGCATTTGTACATAATTTTGCAGTATATAATTAATATAGTATAGATAGCTTGATTAATATAATTATACTTATTATTATAAAAACTTATTACTGTAATTAATATAATATATAATTAATAGCAGTTTGACTTCCATACTAATTTTGCAATACATTGCCATTGGCCATTTAAGGGTGAAAAAAATACACTTTCCAATAAAAATAGAAAACTGCTCTCTGGCAATCTAGCTATCTCTTTGGGATCTTTGGGATTTCCTGCAAAAATTTTACTGTGCCTTCTGGTAATCTAAATTTTTTGTACTTTCAGCAGAGAAACAAATATTTTGCTCACTTGTGTGCTAATGTAGAATCCAGAGCTGTGTGGGAGGTTTCAAAATTACATTTTAAAGCCACCTAGAAATATTCATAATCATTCAAACTATTTTCATACTACTGACACAATGCAAAGAATATTTCCATTACAACCAGCACATGCTCACTGACAGTTTTTGAGATTAATTTGCATCAAAAAGGCATCCTATAACTTCCTGCTACTTTAAAAGCATTTAAAAAAAAAAAAAAAAAAAAAGTTATCACTATGAGTTGCTTGTATTGAAGCCACTGGCAAAATAGTCATCAACTCAGACAGAAAAAGTATTAAAAGTATTAGCCTAGTGACAAGTGTTTTCTCTAAATACTGAATGCCATTAAAAAACAAACAAACAAACAAAAACAATTAAAGAACTTTAATTCATGGTTTTACAGATGGTCATTTTTTTTCTTCATTTGAGTTCTAGATATTGAGCAAATAATATAGCTGCAAGTTTGATCATTCACAGAAATCAATTTTCAGTAGCAATAATGAAATTTTCCACATAAAAAGAATTTGAAACTGTCTTTATTACCATAGTAGTTGTCATCCAAAACAATGACAAAGAAGAAAATGCAAAGGATCTTCTAAATATTTTGTTTGCTTGAATTTTGCTACAAAACTTTCTCCACCCTTTCCAGCTGTCACTTTCATCACCACTAGTTTTGAGCCTGCTGGATTTTTTCTTCACAGTTCATAACATGCTACTCTATGGACTCTGCAATTGCAGTTTATCATGGATGCATGTTGGTGCAGAGGCTCACCATGAGGGACAATGAAAGCCCACGTAAGCCTTCATGAACAGTCAGACACTAACATCAATGCTACAGTTTTCTGTTCACTGCATTATTATTATAGTAACATTAGATTTGAAATATAGAATAAAACCTGAGATATAAACCCAGGACTGACAACCAAATAAATGCCTCAAATTTGTGTTGAGGTGCCAATAAGAATAATATCCATCAGAATTAACATACTGACCGTCAAAATTACAAGCAATTGTTCAAAACCTAAAATCAAAATCATTCAAAGAAATTGAAATGGAAGCAGCCCTTCTTTGAGAGGCACCTGTATACTTGCAAAATCAGATTGTATCAACAGGAAGTTACAGAGGGACTTGGCTAGAAAAGCAATCTTTCAATTTTGCATATAAAATTAATATATAAATGCTCTAATTAACATACGCAATAGGAAACACAATAAAGCTTTTCCCTTGTCTCGTTAACATATACTTACTTTCAAGATACTTGTGCTATCTCCTTGCTGATAAATCACTGACAATTAAACTTTTCATAGGACAGACTCACAGATGACTTGTCCTACCCCTGGTAGCACTAGTACTGCATCTTGTTTTGATCAATGTTAAATAAAGTAATTGAGAAAGATTATGGCCTACTTGCGTGATGAAAACAAGAAAATTAAAAATAAAGAAATTCTTATATCTTAAAAGTGAGTAACAGAAAAGCAATGGGTCAGCTGTATCAAAAAGACTCACCTCCTGCGAGGTGAAACAAACTCCAGGGAAAAAAAAATACAACTACTTCATATTAAATAATGCTGCAATGAAAACAAAGCACTTAATAAAATAAGAATATCTCAGGTTTTCAACTTGGTGTACAGATGATGCAGTTTGTGATCATTTTCTGAGGAAGTGTGCAGTATAAGTATGCCTATATACGTGTCTTTTCCTTTGAGACTGAATGCAGACTTCATTAAGGATCCCTCTTTCAGAGAAAAGATTTAATAAATAAAAATGTTATTTCCTTAAGGAGGAACAGGCACGTGATTTTCTTTCAAGTGGCTGGGTGGACTGAACACCCAACTTCTCTTTAGGGCTATTCAAGTAGCAAAACACATTTTGTTATTCATAAAATTATGCCACCCTTGAAGGTGAACAGAAAATCACAGTGAAAACTTATGATCAAAGGCTAAATATCATTATCTTTGTCTTCAGCTGCACTATTTTCCCTCTTAATCTGCTTTGGTGACTGTTTTCAAAATAATTAACCTTCACTAACACCACATTTATTTACATTCTCATGTGTTAAATGTAAGAACTTTTTTCTTTAATCCTACTCAGTTTTCCTTTTTTCTTTTTTTTTCTTTTCTCTGTTTATACAGGTTTTCTTACCATTTCAGTTATATGCATGTTGAGAACTATTCACTATGGTGGTGAAGTATCAATTTCAGCTGTTTTTGAATTTTACCAAAAGGTGTTGAAATCTCCTACCCTAGTTGCCTACTTCAAAATGTTTGAAATATTTCATCTTAAATCCAATTTTTTAAAGAAAACAAGATGTTTTGTTCGTATTTTAAGTCACATAACTATGCTGCTCAGAGGCTTTAGCAGCTGAACCCCAAAAGTGAAAGTGCACAAATATAAGGTGTAGTGATGCCCAGCAGTCATCATCTCTGTGAAATGGTGTCCAAATCTGTTTAGCTTCATATGCTTCTAAAAGCCATGTTTTCACACCCTTACTGAAGCCCTGTTGTATTCCAGCTTCTGAATTTCTGAAGATCAAAACCACACTGAATACCTTTCCATGACAAAGACAGAGAAGCCAAGTAAGAATTAAAAATCACTTCTCCTGATTTCTGTAAGCACCTGTGGCATCAGGAAAGTGCCTGTCCTTCTTTAAGTGGTGAGTCCAATGTCTTCTTATGGCAATAACCAAGCAACATCATAGAATAGAATAAACATCCTGTGACCTCAAATAGGATAAAGAATAAAGGAAAAATCCAAACAGGGAGGAGAGACAGAAAACGGAGCAAAAAAAGAGGGGGATCTCCAGTGAGTAAAATCAGAGGAGAGCAGAAGCTAGCGTAGGGGTTTTACAGGTACTGGATGAGTACTGGAGCTTGCATGGATGGGACAGGGCAGCACAGTTTGCTCTCCTCTTGTCTAAGATCTGGGAGTAAAAATCAGAATGACAAGCTCGAGCATTCATCACAAATTTATGAAAGTCACTAGTAAAGGCTTTATTAGTGACCAGTCTGCACAGAATAACAGGCTGTTTCTGGCATGCCATCTGCTCTGCAGATCTACTTAATGATCCAAGCTGGGGAATTGTACTTTGAACTTACAAAATGGTGCACAAATGTTATGTTTATGCAGAAAAATTAAGATCTGATTTTCTCATATTGAAGAAGATATTAGTCAACATTTTATACAATTTCTGCCTTAATCTCTGTCTTCATTTTTCAAATTTAAAACACAAACACCGTTTTAAGTGTCTTACACTTCATGCTGTGAGGGCAGCATGAAAAAGAGATGCATTTATTAAACATCGAAGACCTAGGAAATCTAGTATATCTATGCAATATCTGTATGACAAAGAATGATTTTATATTCACTGTGGAGTTTAGATGTTTCACATTCAACAAAAACAGACTGAGGAAACATAAGAAAAATCTAATTACACACTCTGAGGAAACTGGAAAGTCATGTATGTCATGTAATAAGAGCTGCACCGTAATGGATAAGAGACTGGATTTCCACAGACCATATTAGTCCTGGTATTTCCTCACTTCTGATGTTTTCCTTTGCAACATTAACATCCTTTTAACATGATTTTATTGGTCCTTATTACAC